TCTGAGGTTGCGGAAGGCGCAGGAGTGGACGAGCCACCCACAAGTGGCCATGAGTCCGAGCCGAGCAGCGACAGGACGAGCATGGCCGAAAGCTGGCATTGACGCAGCAGGCCAAGGTCAAGGCCGAGGCTCGGTTCATCCGGTTCATCCACTGGGGAGCCTCCTAGGAGGAAGGGATTTTTCCCCGTGTCGCAAGGGGACGCGGCGAGCGGACCTGAAGACCACAAGCGAGGCATGGCCNNNNGCAGCACAGCAGCGCCACATCCAGGCGTTGGAGAAGGAGCTCCAGAGCATAAGGCGGAACGTGAGCGAGTTCAGACCGCATCTTCCAAGAGACTGGCTTCGAGTCAGAGGCACCTACTTGATGAGCACGACTGTGGGTTGTCCCGCATCCGAGAGGAGCTGGCATTCGAGGCCCAGTACCCTTCCGTCTAAAAAAAGTCGGCATTGGCTCATGCTGGCAGCACACAGGAGAGCAACCCTATCGCGCGGGCCAAAAAAGAGGCCCTCCTGCACTCATTTGCACTCCTGCAGCTGATCCGAAGCCATGCGCCCTTCCCTGACAGCTCTGCAGGTCCTTGCCATCCAGGATTCAGTGCTCAAGGCTTGAGCTGCCAGAGTCCACAATGGGTGGGTGTTCAACTGTTGAGCCGCCAAGAAGGCGGCAGACGAAGATGCCTCCTTGTCACAGCAGTTGGAGGATCTGGAACATAGCTGGCCTTCCTTGAATATCCTCTTCTTTCGTGGACGTTGTGCAGGAGCGCATGCTTTACCCGAGCGGACTTCTCGGCAGCGACCCAGGCCGGTGACGCCTTGAAACCCTTTGGGTGCATCCAGGACATGTTCTGGAACTTCAACCGGATGGGCACATGGGCTTGTAGCGAAAAACCGATGGCAAAACCGGAAGCGACACAGAATGCAGCATTTGTCTTGACATGCCGTGCCGGAAAGACTTGCAACGCTGTCGGCAGGGGCCAGCAGCAGCGGCGGCGGCAGCCACAGCAGCACAGCAGCAACAGTAACAGGCAACTGCACTGCCACTGCATGATCAACAACAGCAGCCAAAGCCGCCGCTACCACCAGCAGCAACAACAACA